AAGTCGGCAGAGGCCGAGCTCGTGTCATCCTCACTCTTAGGCGGTCAGACGAGGTACAATCCCAGCAAGTCGTACCCTCTACGGATGCTCGGCAGGCTTACAGTCTACTGAAACGAATGACGAGGACTTTCAAGACTGGAAGCACTGCCGAGCTCCGAACGAAGAAGCCTCAGGGTCCATGTTCGCTTGAAGATATGAGGTTCGAATGCCGTTAGTGTTTGGCGACGCAGGACGGACCCTGCTTGACGGTCCGCCCTCGTGCGGCATGATGCATCGTGGCTGACTCCAGATTCTGTGGATATTGCCACGAGGTAAGTGGTCGCGTTTCAGCGGGCGATATCCAAAAGTGGTGTTGACGCTCATCAAGACGCATGCACAGCAGGCTCCAGATGGCGATGATACTCAGCAGAACCAGGTGCTGGGTTCTGGAGGTGGGGCTGAGCTTGGTAAGGCGGGAAGGGATGACCTTGAGCAGGGGTCCTTTTGGGTTGCATTAGCGGCATGATCTGGGTGCGCCTGCCCCCTCTGCCTGCCAATGACAGCAGGATATGCGCTCGGTTGCGCGCATTTGAGCAAGTTACCCACGTCTTGGCGTCCGGGGCTCTGGGTCCACCACGAACTATCAAGGTCATGGCTCTTGCTTGTTCCGTCTTCGTCTCGTCCAGAGCTGCTCCTGCCCTCCATTGACATGAGTAGGATGTTGCTCCAGGCAGCTCCCAGCGCATCCAACGCTGGCCACGAGCCTGAACAGACTTGACAAAGCCTCCAGGGAGGATCTTAGAGGACCTGGCCCAAAGCTAGAGGTGACCTACTACGGTCTCGGTCCTGAGACGATCATCTCAACACCAAGACATGACGTTCCTCCTGTTGCCCTGGAGGCCGAAACATGAGGCCGAAAACAAATCGATTGTTCTAATACGTCCAATACCTTGCGCTAACACAGCCACCCCATGAGGATAGATAGATGACAGAAAGAACAGCACCAACACTGACGCGACCCATCTGACAAACGGCCGTTGCTCCTAATTAGCCAAGTCGTCTGAAGCAGCAGTGCCAGTAAAGTGATGATCTGTGATGACTTGGCAATCGAAAAGAACTGCTCGCTCATGGCGAGCTAACTGGTCAGCAGAATTTATTACCTGTCAGTGGCGTATGTGCGTGAGTGGGCAGTGTGCTGATAGATGTGCGGAATCCGCGCGCCCAGCCCGCCGCGCCTCTTGAACTTGCTCAATCCACCGCAACCCCTCCGACCTTCCGACGTCGCATCTTACCTCCTCCACAACACCACAATCGGCTCTCGGAACGCGTTGATGCTTTTTGGTCTCCTCAGCGGCGACATGCTTGACTGAAGCTGACAGCCGATTCCCCGAGGACCTCGACAGGCTCGCTCGGCTCATCAGTACTCTGTCCCTCGCCTAATCACCCTGAGAGGAAGGGTACAATCGCTCATTCGATTCTGGCCGCGACTGGATCAACGGCTTCCCACGACTCCCACGACTCCCTCGATTAAACAGGCTCTCACTGCTCGCCATGAACCACGAACATCACGGCGGAGGCGGAGGCGGCGCTGGAGGACTTCAGACCACAAATAAACACCTTGCCGAATCGTACTGGTACATCATCGCAGGCGCCACGGGCTTTGCGGCAGCCATCCGTGGCATCAACTATCTCGAGGGACGCCGACGACTCAGGCGGCACCATACGCAGTCTCTCGCGCACCCCACCAAGCCAGACGGCCGTCTGACACAAGCATGGGCGACTGCGACGGCTATCGTTCGTGAAGCGACCTATCCGCGATTCTTCGTTCCTAAGAAAGGCCTTCGTTGGGCTTCGCCGCCATCGCTAGGCCGCATTATCCTTCTCGTCGCCTACTGGGCCGTCATCATCAACATGATGACAGCCCACGGTGCCATCATCAAGGACGTCTTTTACTGGGAGCGCATCGGTTTCCGCAACGGTTGGACAACAATCATGCAAATGCCGCTGCTTTATCTTTTGTCCATGAAGTTCAACATCATCGGCTACCTCACGGGCACCAGCCACGAGCGACTCAACTGGCTCCATCGATGGGTCGGTCGCACTATGTTCGTGACAGCGACTGTACACGGATTCCACTTCTGGACGCAATGGGAAAGAGCCGAGATTATCGAGATCCAGATGAAAATCTTGCCCATCACAAAGCAAGGTCTTGGTGCCTGGGCACTCCTGCTGTGGACCATCCTGACCACCTTCAAGCCCTTCCGACACATGGCCTACGAGCTATTTATCGTCCAGCACGTTTTAACTGCGATCATCTTCCTGTGGCTGGTCTATGTGCACATTCCCGAGCCTGCCCGGCCCTACTTGTGGTTCAGCGTTGCCTGCATCTGTTTCGACCGTCTCGCCCGCTGGGGCCTGCTGCTGTGGCAGAATTTGCGACCAAAGCCGGACAGATCAGACTGCAAGGGAATGAAGCGAATCGGTCACCAAGCACAAGTGAGGACAGTTGGCTCATCGACCACCGTTCTGACGATCAAGGATGTGTCTTTCTCGTGGAAGGCCGGTCAGCATCTCTACCTCTGGCTGCCGCGCCTCGGTCCATTCGAAGCTCACCCGTACACGATTGCATGCGCGCATCAATTGCCCGAAACATGCATCTGCAATAGTGTGCAGCTCGTCATTCGCAAGCACGGCGGGTTTTCCAAGCGACTCCACAACCACGCGCAGAAGATGCAGCAGGCTGGCCGGAGCGAAACACTCACTGCGTTTGTCGTGGGACCGTTCGGAGCGCCCCCACGGTGGGATATCTACGAGACGGTCATTCTCATCTCCGCCTCGACAGGAGCTTCCTTTACGCTTCCCATACTCGAGGCGATCGTGCAGGAACGAACCAAGACGTGCGTGAAGCGGGTCGAGTTTGTATTGACAGCGTGTCAAGGCGAGGAGATTGATTTTTACCTACAAAGGCTGCGCGAGGCAGTGGATCGAGCTCACGGGATGGGTCTCGAATTGACGGTGCACGTCGCTATCACGCGCTCCGATGCAGATATCGAGGCTGTGACGAGCGTTCTCAACGGCGATGGACGAGTTGGCACCACAGAATCGCTCCTACACAGGAGAGGGAACTCTAGCGGCTCAGACGCCGAGGGTGGTGAGATGGAAGAGAAGGATAACATTAGAGCTGCGAACCCTGAGAACCAGCCAGGCTGCCACATGATGAAGGGGAGCTGTTGTGCCGGAAGAAGCTCAAGTAGCGGTGGCTCCGACTTTCTGCGACATTATACGACGAGACTAGACATTGAGTCACTCATCCGCGAGCCCGTCGAGGCGGCAGGTGGAGAGACATCAGTGGTGGTATGTGGTGGGCAATCCCTGACGAGTTCTGTACGCAACTGCGTGACACGGTTGTCGGATGAGAGAGCAGTACACAAGGGAACAGGAGCTCAGGGCATACACCTATATGTGGAGGAGTACTCGTTCTAGATGATGGTCCGAAGATGGCATTATACCCAAAATACAAGAATACAGTAAAGAGACTCAGAATGAATCAGTGACCATGGGGAGAGGCCCCAAGCTTGATGTTGGCGGGAACCGTTCCGTCGCAAGCGATGTCACACCGCTACCCCTCCATCCCGGTGAAGAGGTTATGCTTCGGTCAAGACCCTCACCGAGATGCAGCCAATCACCACAGGGCAATGCACAGCTGCACGCCCAAAAATTTCCCCTCCAACGGGCCCGCGACTGACCTTGGGCTCGACCAACAAACAGCCTTGACTCACACGCAGCACCCCTCGATAGACCCTCTTTCTCTCTTTTTAACCCCTCCTTAATCCGGCCCTACACTACCCCTGGCATGACGAGCCGCCTCTCACAACTTTTCAACCCGTCTTCACTTCGCCCGGCACCGGTACTTTGCCTCCCGTCTCGACAATCGCTGTGCGGTTCCCATCCCTTCTTTGGCCTTGCCTACCAGCTCCCCCGCTCGCCGAACCCGAAGCTAAACGCCAATCGAAGTTCCTCCCACTCCATCACAGCCATCCGAAGTCTCGCGACCATGGCCACAGAAGCCCCCGTTGGCGACCTCGCCAGCCAGCTCGAGAAGCTCAACGTCGGCAAGCTCGAGGCGTTCCCCAACTCCCACCCCGACCTTAACCCTGTCGACGTCTACCGATCACATATTGCCTCCCTCCTCCACGATGTCTCTGGCGTTGAGAAGTCCCTGATCTACAATGCCCTACAATGGACAGCCACACTCGAGAACGGCGATCTTCTGCTCCCCGTGCCCGCCCTTCGCGTCAAGGGCAAGAAACCCCATGAGCTGACCGAAGAGTGGCTCGCCAAGGTACGTCACGCGAACGCTTGTCCTCCTCCTCCTCCTCCTCCTCCTCCCCCTCCTCCCCTTGCCAGCCGGCGCGATAGTAAACACGCGGCTAACATGCCGCAACCTAGTTCCCCGAGTCCCCTCTCATCGAAAAGCCCGTTCCTTTCAACAACGGCTCCCTTCATTCAGTTTTGGTTCAAGGCCGCGCCTCTCGCCCAGCTCGTCATCCCTCAGATTCAGCAGCGCACCGAGGATTTCGGCAAGAACCCTCGCAACGGCCTCCGGGATCCCCAAGACCCCTCCAAGGGCCAGAAGCACATGATTGTAGAGTTCAGCAGCCCCAACATCGCCAAGCCCTTCCACGCTGGTCACCTTCGCAGTACCATCATTGGCGGTTTCCTCTCCCACCTGTACGCGGGCGCCGGCTGGAAGGTCACCCGTATCAACTACCTCGGCGACTGGGGCAAGCAGTACGGCCTCCTGGCGCTCGGCTACGAGAAGTACGGTGACGAGAAGGCGCTCGAGACGGACCCCATCAACCACCTATTCCAGGTCTATGTCAAGATCAACAACGATCTCGCCGAGGAGAAGGAGAAGATCGCCGCGCTCGAGAAGGAGGGCAAGGATGCCAGCGAGCTCAAGAATGAGGGTCTCGACGAGCAGGCTCGCCGCTACTTCAAGGCCATGAACGACGGCGAGCAGGCGGCGCTCGCGCAATGGAAGAAGTTCCGCGACCTCAGTATCGTTCGCTACAAGCAGACATACGCCCAGCTCAACGTCACCTTTGACGAGTACTCGGGCGAGTCGCAGGTGTCGGAGGAGGACATGGCCGCCTCGGCCAAGACGCTCGAGGACAAGGACATCTCCGAGGTGTCGGACGGTGCCGTGGTCATCAACTTCCAGAAGCACGTCGCAGGCAAGGCCGGCAAGTCGTTGGAGAAGCCTGTCATTAAGAAGCGTGACGGCAGTAAGTCAACCTCTCCGATAAGTCCATCCGGCATAAGTGACTGACATGGCGTAGCTGCGCTGTACCTTACTCGTGATATCAGCGAGCTGCTGCACCGCGAGAAGAAGTACAACTTTGACCACATGATCTACGTTGTTGCGTCGCAACAAGATCTGCACCTGAAGCAGTTGTTCAAGATTATCGAGCTCATGGGCTTTACTGAGACGGCCAAGAAGGTCCAGCACGTCAACTTTGGCATGGTACTCGGTATGAGCACTCGCAAGGGCGTATGTATACCCATTCTCTTGCTGTAAAGATGACATGGCTAATTTGAATTACAGACTGTTAAGTTCCTGAGCGATATCATTCGCGACGTTTCTGACCACATGCATGATGTCATGAGGAAGGTTAGTAACATCAGGCACGACCTTGACAGGCCCAAGCTAATGTGGCCAATAGAACGAGGAGAAGTATAAGCAGGTTGAGAACCCAGATGCCGTCGCTGAGACACTCGGTATCAGCGCCATCATGGTGCAAGACATGACGGGCAAGCGCCAGAACTCGTACACCTTCTCCCTCGAGGCCATGACAAGCTTCGAGGGCGACACGGGCCCCTACCTTCAATACGCCCACGCCCGTCTGTCGTCCATCATGCGCAAGGCCAATATTCCTGAGGCGGACCTTGTCGACGCCGACCTGAGCCTGCTCACCGAGAAGCACGCGACGGAGCTCATTCGCATGCTGTCGCAGTACCCCGACACGGTGCAGAACACTCTCAAGACGCTCGAGCCGACGACGGTGCTCACGTACCTGTTCAAGCTGACGCACGTGCTCAGCAGCTCCTACGACGTGCTGAGGGTCGTTGGCAGCGAGCCCGAGGTGCTCAAGGCCCGTCTGGCCCTGTACTACTCTACCAGGACCGTCCTGGCGAACGGCATGAGGTTGCTGGGTCTGTCGCCTGTTCAGAGGTATGTAGAGGCAATGCCCCGACGGTCGTTGTACGTGCTGACAGTGCTACAGGATGTAAGGAAGGAAGGTCACGATGTCACATGTGGTAGTAAAGGAGCATCCCCTTGGTGTCACGGCTTGCCAGGGATTAGGCGATTGAGAGGATTGCGTCACTTTGATGACGAGTTGTCCCTTGCTAACAGCTATTATGAGTCGAGGGCTGTAGTTGTGGCCAACGCGTATCGGCGAAGACAAAAAAAGTATAATTTCAAACCACCACCGCCAGTCCCTCAACACGTGATGCATAACACACCTCGAATCCGGGTTTCCCTGTCGTTCTCCTGCCAACCAATGGTGTTCACTGTTCTCTTGTTTCAGATATTCTTGTTCCCAAGCTGGCCCACCAGGAATTCCGGCCGCCCCTGTTGGGGAAGTCCGGTGGTCACGGCCTTGGCGGCCCCCTATCATCGGTGTTTTCGGAACCTACCGTGCACGTCTGATCCTTGCATTGCCGAATTGTGCATCCTCATTGACGTAGATCGGACTCTCGTTGCTCTGGTTGGCGTTTCCTTGTGGAGTTACTATTCCCTGCATCTGGATTGTGGCGTGCGTGCTGCCGATCTCCTTCCCGCGGAGGCCATCTCGTCGATGTAACGACACCAACGTCGATTGTGAGCTGGAAGGTCATGATCATCTCCATGATCCATTGTGGGATGTGGTATATGTGCAGCCCTCGAAATCAAGCTTGATCTTTTGGCTTTGTCACAAGTGGTGCCTTCAGACGATGCAGTATGAGCCCAAGCCCTTATCTCGGGGGATAATCTGTATGTTCCAGAGTCGTTGGCCCCCCCCCCGGGAAGAAACCTCCTCTGATGACGAAAGAGTCCTGCGCCTGAAATTGGAACGGTGTTTTTCGGGACTTGGCTTCCGTTCTTGAACTGTAGCAGGGACAACATTGGGCATCAGGATACTAGGCCATTTGGGCCCACCTCGTAATCAACCGGCCTGGGAGTCCGTCCAACAATGCTTTTGCTTCTTGTGGGAGAGTGGACGGGTCCCCGTTCTGTCCAGCACCTCAGACCGTGGGTATGCTTTTGCTCCCCGCGCGGAAGACCATCTCATGCGTCGGACAGAATATGCCTAATCTCTCGGGCTGGGCATGCACCTCGTTAGAGTGCGTGCCACACAATACTTGTCGTTGGCTTCGGGACGATCGGTTGAGCTTTGTGGGCTCAGCCTTGACGCCACGTCGTAGACGGAGTTGCTTCGTGGTCTGAGATGAACAGTAGTTTGCATCTTTTTTTAGGCTGCCCAGTTGCTGGACGCCAACATGCATTCTCCGGTAGGCTTGGCCTGCGGACAGAAGGTCATCGAAAGCCGAGTGGTGGTATCTCTCTGCATGGCCAGTTCATAAGCATAGACTTTGGCTTTTTGGGTCCTCCAGGCCAGGTGGTTTCCTGCTCGTCCTCACCTTTTGCTTGTCTTCCCTCTGAATTGCAGCAAATTTCCTATTCCTCACGAGATTTAAGTGATACTATAGCCATGGTGGGCCTAGTACTGGTCGTGGCAGGCGTTTTATGCCTTGGCCTGTACCAACTATATGTTTCTATCACCACGAAGAAAAAGCTGCCGGATGGCGCAAAGCCTCTGCCTGGTCCGATGAGTAGGTGTCTTCTCACAAGCCCCTCTTTCAACCATCGCAGACACTGACCAGCCCAGACCTACCCTTCATCGGCCGCGTCCACGATGTCCCAGCTGAAGGTAGCTGGCTCAAGTTTCACGAATGGGGCCAAAAGTACGGCCCCATCTACACAATGGACATGTTTGGCTCAACCCACATCTGGATCTCCTCCGAGTCGGTCGCTACAGATCTCCTCGCCCGCCGCAGCACAATCTACTCGGACCGCCCTGTCATCCCGAACCTGCCTGACAACCGCTACAGCGGCAACTACCTCGCCCTCGCCGGCCGTAACGATACGTGGAAGCGCCAGCGCAAGCTCGCCCACGGCCTCATGTCCGTCTCGGCGGCCCAAGACCTGCATGCGTACCCGACGCGCGAGCGCGACCGCCTTCTGTGGCTCGTGGCGACGCAGCCCGCCGAGTACAGGGAGTGGATCGAGCAGTTCACGTCGCGGACCGTCGCGAGGCTGTCGTGGGGCAGCGCGGCGCCGGCCGACACGCTGCGCGTCACGACACAGGGGTTGCTCGAGACTATCAGCCCCGCCGGTGCGCTGCCGAATGTTGTTTCTTTCCTTGCCGGCCTGCCGAGGTGGGCTTCTCCCTGGAAGCGGAGGGAGGCGGCACGACACGCTGTCGAAGAGAAGCTGTTCACGCGGTGCGTGGCTTCGGTGCAGGAGGGTATGGAGGGCAGCGGGGCGCGGCCGAGCTTTGTGCAGACCTTCCTGTCCGATAGAAGCCCCGGCGGGAAGTATGCTGATGTAGAGGTGTGGGATGCCATGTACACTGTCGGCCAGATGGCTATCGCTGGGGCCTTGACGATCGGGAGCCCCATTCAGAGTTTCTTGTTGGCAATGCTGCATTTCCCCGAGTGGCAGAGAAAACTCCAAGAGGAGATTGAGACCGTCTGCGAAGGACGGTGTCCCCAGTGGTCTGACCGGGAAAGGCTGCCCATGGTAAGAGCTGTGGTCAAAGAGGTGCTGCGGTGGAGGCCACCCGTACCAACAGGTATTCCGCATGCAGTGGAAACGGATGATGTGTACGAGGGATACTTCATTCCCAAGGGCGCGACCATCCATGCTCTCGAGTGGTAAGCTTTTAGTACAGTATGACGCGGGATACAAAGCTAACAACGTAGGTCCATCACTCGCGATCCCGTCACGTATCCCGACCCCGAAATTTTCAACCCCGCCCGCTGGCTCGAAGAGTCTTACCCGACGTACAAAGCACCACTCACTACGTACCCCAATCTCGCAAACTACAGTCAGTTTGGCTTCGGTCGGCGGACCTGCCAAGGCGTCTCCATCGTGGAGCAGGACTTGTTCCTGACGATGGGTGGGTTGGCGTGGGCAATGGATATAATTCCGAAGAGGCGGCCCGATGGCAGTGCTGTGCCAGTCCACTGGAACGACTTCACGCCACTCCTCATCGCTAAGCCCGCCGCATTTGAGTTTGATGTCATTGTACGAAAGGGAAGAGAAAGTCTTTTGCGGCAGATGCATGAAGAGGCAGGGAGCGGGGATGATGTAGAGAAACAAGCGTTCAATGGGCAGATCACCAAGGAGTGTCTGTTCACCAAGGAGGCCAGTGATCTCTCTGAGGCTGAGGGCCAGTATCACGACTTTGAGCAAGGCGATGCTCACATGCAACGCACACAGTGCTGAGGATTGGGGCTAATCTAGTTCTTGCAAGTTTCCAATAATAAACCCCATAGACTAAACAAAGGATCAACGGCAAACCACGTGGTATGGTCGAAAATTGAATAGAAGTTTGCTTTCTTCTCCTCCAGCCACCTCCAGTGACCCTGTGCTGCGACCAACCCTTGTTTCATGTTGAACACACGAGTAAACTGTCCCTTGATGTTCTGGCCCAGTTGGCTCGGTTTGTGTTTCTGTTCATTCCGCCCGGCAGGCGATTTAAAGGCAGTCCTAATTGGCAATGCCAGTTAGGATTGCTGCAACTGAGGAGGTATTAGGGTCAAAGTATTTGTAATGACTAAACTGCGCTGCAGGCGCCTGATGTCGGCTTAGTGTTAGACGAGAATTGATGCCCCAAACTGGGTACTCAAGCAGCCTGATCGATCAATTTTACCACTAAGCTCTGGTCCCAAGGCTCTGGCAATTTGAGTAGACGGGCCTTATGGCGCTGATATTCCATCATTTGAAGGGGATTTGCGTATCCCCAGACTATGATGCCGCGCCAGATTACAGAGCACGTCGTATATGATATTTCTAGTCGTTTGCAGTTTGATGATCCGCCTGAAATAGGACTTGCAGGCCAGGCCCCTGCAGTGTGCTGAAGGTTAGTTCCGTGATTTGTTGCCTCTTCTGTACATGGCAACGTGAGCCGGCATCGAGACTGACTTCCAAATGAGTGTGTTGCGCCTGGGAAAGGGAGTCACCCGCCAGGTCCTACAACTTTCTAGTTCTTGGTGAAGTAGTGTTCGAAGTTATAAGCTACGGCCTTGTTCAAGACGTCGGCCCATCTTTCCATGGTAGACGAACAAAATAATTCCATTAGATTCAAGGCTCGTTCCACTTTCCCTTGACAGAAACGTCAAAGCTGAATACAAAGCTAGAGCGATACGCAGTGATTGATTTGGCTCAGCGAATGATTACAATACAAGGACAGGCATTCTTCAAAGATTTGTGATGGGAGAAAAGCTGTTCTTAGTGACGGCCTGCCTCCGGACATACGCCGGGACCCCTGGTCGTACTGCGGCGGCGTTGTCAGTGATCTTCGAATAAAAACAGGATCTTTCGTGGTGGCTAAGCAATGGAGTGTCCTGGCTGGTTTCTCCGTGGGCCGTTCCTCCTTTTGGTTGGCTAAGTTGCCTAAGTTGAGATGAGATGGGAAGAATCTCCATGGAAAAGCACATCAGCGTTCCTAGACAACCTCAGCGCCATTTTGGCGGGGAAATCCGTCATGCACCCCACAGATCAGCCCTGGGGTACATGTCTCCATTTGATTTAGGTGGATCTGACAGGTTATCCGCCCCAGCCTCCAAAAACCATCGGACGCGAATGGGGTCCCGATCCAGCTCGAACCCCAGAAGATATCTCAGAACCTTGGCTGTATCCCCCGCTTCTCCGGAGAATTAGGAACCTGGTGGGCGGATGGTTCACGCACCATAACGAGTTGACATCGCCAAACGGGCTTCGAGTATCTATATAAGCGGTATCGTTCGCCCAGTATGATCTCCAGCACTAAATTTCAACTCCTCCTCACGACACTTAGCTCTTCATCCGATTATGCCAAAAATGGAGCGTCGCGTTTCGGAGTGTGACGTTCAGGCCGTGGATCTCGGCAAGGTCGATATTGTCCATGATGAAAAGGCCCAAGATATCACCGCGATCACATCGGCCTTCGCCAATTTGACGCGAGGCCAAGCCATCAGAAAGTTCTGGCGCCTCTATGGCACGATACTTTTGACCTCTGTCGGAGCCATGTGAGTGTGCCAAACGATGCTCCGCGCGCAACAGACCAACTGACCTGTCTCGGAACAGGTACGCTGGTTATGCCGCCTCCGTCATTGGTAGCATCATCGCCAATGAGGGTTTTATCCGGCAATTTGCGACTGTCACCGACTCGGAGACGGGGGCGCGTGTTCTCGCCTCGACGCATGTGTCGTTGTGGCAAGCCATCAACTTCGTTGCTCAGATCTTCATCCAAATGATCGCCCCCATCACTGCTGATCGCTTTGGTCGCAAGTTCAACATGTGGGCTTTGACAATCTTTCTCACAGCTGTAAGGACCATCCACAATTGCTCTCAATGTTGAACCCTTGCTGACGGTCAGCCCGCAGTCAATCATATTCTCCATCGTCGCCAAGACTTGGGAAGTCATCCTAGTTTCCCGCATCAGCAGTGGCATGGCGGGAGGTCTTCTTGGATCTTCAATCATGATATATATGTCGGAAACTGCCATGCCGCAATTTAGAGGTGCTCTTCTTGCTAGCTTTTCTCTCTTTTTCGCGGTGGGCCAGCTATTCCTTGCTATTGGGCTGAAGATCCTTGAGAATACTGCACCACTTAGGTTCCGGAACATATTCTATTCCGAGTTCGTCCTGTTCGGTCTCTGGCTGATTCCCATGGTCTACCTCCCGGAGTCTCCCGGTTCGTATATCCTCTACTGTTTCTATAAGCATGTGTCTAACAGGCGAACTAAGTATGGTATGCCCTACATGACCGTCCGGACGACGCCAAGAGAGCTCTCCGCCGTCTTGTTGGGAATGTGGATGGCTACGATGTCGACCACGAGTACGATGTTATCAAGTACGAAGCGGACGAGTCCACCCGCCTACAACTCCAGAGCGGCAATACTGAGTGGCGCGCCTTCTTCACAAACACGAACATGAAACGCACCATCATCTCCACGCTGCCTTTCACCATGCAGAACTTTGTCGGCGCACCCCTGTTCTTTAATTATGCCACCTACTTCTTCTCGCTCGCTCAGCTCGATGACCCTTTCCTCGGCAACCTTATTATCCAACTCGTACTAGTTGCAGGCATTATTACTTCGTTCTATCTCGTTGACAAGACCGGTCGCCGCACTCTTGTACTCATCGGAGGCGCATTCATGTCTTTGTTGTGCTTCATCGTGGGCGGACTCGGTTTCTTGACGCCAAACGCGGCTACTGGGTCCGCTCTGGTGGCTTTGTCTTCCATCTGGGCCTTCACCTATGCCATTTCTGTTGCCCCAATTGGTATGTTTCATCCTTCACCTCATCAACCCAGATTCTTATCAGCTGGCAGGATGGATCAGTCTCGTCGAAGTGTCGAGCCCGCTTTTCCGCGCCAAGACTACAGCGTTGGCATCGATAATTCAGTCCGCATCCGGCGTGCTTTTCGTAAGTTCTCATTCACAGCTTCATTCCAAGGATCGAAAGAGATTGGCTAACATAGCGAATGAGTAGAACTATACTGTTCCTCTCATGTTGTCCAACCAGAACGCCGGCTGGGGTCAGAAAATTGGTCTCTTTTTTGGAGGCATCTCTGTTGTTTACATGATCCCGGTGTTTTTCATGTTTCCTGAGACAAAGGGTAGGACATATCAAGAGCTGGATGAGTTATTTGAGAGGCATGTTAAAGCCTGGAACTTTGCCAAGACCGAGACATCCCACCAAAGGAGCGTTGATGCAAGGCTTGGTCACTCAATCTGATGATGGAGTTACTTGAAAGCAAGAGAGAGGTCAGTTCGATAGTCATAAGTGGCGTGGCATTGGTGGATTATGAATAAATGGCCACAGAGTCCATCAAATCGACTCCGCCACGCTTAACACAAAGTGCCCACAGATTCCAAGGCAGCGCTTCCATGATCTTGAAGGACGCTCAAGGCAATTGCATGTGATTTTGACAGGCGAAATTTTGTGTGATACACGCTAATGCCGCGTCGTTTTCTCACTGCGAGATTTTGTTTGGGTGCATTTGGTTTATAGCCGTTAAATTTCCACCACCTGCTGGAGCACGAGGTGTTCTTGATGTCATGAAGCCAAGATCCCAGCTAATTCCTCCGAAACCTTCGAATTCAACGATGTGATGACATCAAGCAACTGCGAGAAAAGTGCATTGGCACGAGCGGCTAAGACCTGATCATCCGTCTGGTGGGCAATGCCCAACAACTCCACGCCGGCCTGGCGCAGTTTCTCTGCCTGCCGAGTTCTCAGTCAAAAGCAATAGATATGGGATTGATTATAGGGTCAGTGTAACTTACGCCTGGTTCACCGTTGGCCTGCAAGCTTTCGAACGGGACCGACTTGACTGCCAAAAGCATGTCATTGCTGATTTTTAACCTGCGCATGGCGAGCATAGAGCCGTCATTTGTCAGACCAAACAGGTGACACAAGCCGTGTTTCTCCGCTTGTCGAATAATGGCGAGCCGAAGGCAGTGGTATGTGATTACAAGGTTTGTCTTCTGGGCCCAGAATGAGCGACGCTGCTGCAGCGAGACAGCTTCATCAGGCGCGGAGTAGGAGTCGGGATTCGCCAGCCATGGCGGCAAGTCGTCAAGAAGCGCACAGAAGGAGAGATAGGCGTGCATGATAGCGTTGGCGCGCGGTACCGGCGTCCCAGCTTCGCTCTGTGGTGCTCGCGCACGCGCGTGGGCAATCATCTTCATGTCAAGGAGGATGTCCGTGCCTGATCTCCAGAGGTGGGTCGACATGTGGAAAGCGGTCATCGTCTTCTCTTCGAATGGAAAGGAAGATTCTCCGTGAAGTAAGCCTACCTGCGACGGGCCCTCGATGGCCAGGGTAATGGGTTGCTCGAGGCATAGATCCATTATCATGGAGGGGACGCCGTTCAAGACTGACGCTGACTTGTCGCCCTGGTACATACACCAAAATATGCGCCGTAATCGCTGTGCCTCTATGTCCTCAACCCCAGTAAGCGACGTCTCGTCATATAGTCGAAGGGTGATGGCCAGAGACCAGGCGGAACGAAGTAGATGCATGGCTGCGCGGATCTTCCCAAAGAAGTGAAGAGTGTTTGACTGGAAATACCGGAGGAGAAGGGAACTCGAATCTGGATGCTCTATGTCAAAGTCTTCATAGCAGGAGAGCATGTTTCTTGATGCCGAGAGAAAGATTTTTGCGAGGTCAGAAGCGTCGTAAGGGGTGACAGGGTGTGGTTCCGCCAGGGTGCACATTACGGCGCAGAGAGCAGTAAGTAATGTGTACGATCTCATCTCTTCGAGAGTGAACCCACTATCATCTTCTCCGCCGTTCACTGATGTCGTGGATGGTGAAACGGGATGCTGCCGGGATGCAGTCAAAAGGGGGATGGCACTATACAGACTCTCGATATGGACCGCGGGACAAAAGGGAAACCTATACATGACAAATTTGTCGATCCATTTGCCGGCGAGGTCCTGGGGTTGTCCATATTTGCAGATGGCTGTTGAGAAATTTCTGTGTGTCTGAAGAGCTACCGACTCAACACCAAGGGTGGATTGGCGAGGCGTGCAAGCGTGTTGGCCAGCTCCGATGAAGCTGGCTGTCAATCCTGGTGTTGCTATGGAGCGAGCATGAACTGATTCTGGTGAGTGAGACGATATGACATGATTAGAATGTCTAGCCTCGCTTTCTGGCGTGACGTGGTCATCAAGTGGTGCGTGGATTGTGATCGCATCATTGAAGCTCGGCTCGTGTGCTGCTGGTGATGTCGCAAGGGTGTCATTGCCAGAAGGGACTTCGGAGGGCTTCTGAGCGATAGGCTTTGGCCCTCGTCTTCGTCGGGGTGCCTCGTACTTGCATGTGGTCCCGTAAAGCTGGCAATTCCGGCACAGGGGCGCCTTGGAGTCGCACTTGATCTTGCGGACGCGACAGGCGTCGCACGCCATGGTCGACACGCTGCGTCTCATCGCCCGAATTGGCTTGGACGGCGTGACTTGCACACGTTGAGGTGATTGGAGTATCGAATAAAACCCCAGGTTGGTAGCTCGTTCGTCTGTTAGTTTGCGGACACCAGTACCTGGACGATGGGCTGCCTTTAAATTTCCACGGAGAAACTAGCCACCAGCCGTGGTCGGCCTATACCCTCAACTGTGCGGGGTTGCAGGTTGATCATGGCGAACATTTGCACTGGCGCGGCACGGAACATGCGACAATGGGACTGTGGCGTTCCGTTTTGCCTGGGTGACTGGTAATCTTTTACCAAAGGCATGTCGCGGTGTTGTCGATTTGCCTGCGCGACACCCGTAAATGTCTGTCAGACCAAGCAGGGATCGCTCGCCAAGAAGCATGACGCTCAGTGTCCGGTACTCTGCCAACCTCAGCGTGGAGAAAACTCCAGAAGAGATCGCGTGCCTGTTTCCAGGTTCGGCGCATCACGAGCAGTTTTGAACATGTCGGACGTGTTCGAGCCTAGAAAGAGTCACAGGTAGCCAACAATGGACCTGTTCGCTCAATGGGCGATGATCGGTCTTCGCTTTCGGAGTTAACCAATCCACGAAAGACCCCTCACAAATGTCATGACGTGTAACGGCATGGACGTTCGCTGACAAACGTCCAACCCGGCTCAGTACAATAACGTTTCGTACAACTGGCACCCATCCTTTGAGCAGAAATCGTTCAATAGCCCATCTTGACGTCCAGCACCTTTCATTAGCATTTCAAAATGGCTCCTGCGAGGATCGGCGTCGTCACTGGCGCAAACAAGGGCATCGGCTTGGCCATCGGTAAGAGTCCCCGTCGTAATTTGTGACGAAGACCTAGCCGGCTTACTCTCGCTATAGTCCGTCAACTGGCGCTTCAGTACCCAATGTCACACATTGAGAACGGCTCATTTTTGATCTATCTGACCTCCCGCGACGACATCCGCGGCAGAGAAGCTGTCGCATCTCTAGAACAGGAACTCCTGAAATCTAGGGTCCTGGCTACAGAAGGGGGAACCACTGAAATCAAGCATCATCAACTGGATATCTCCGACTCGGAAAGCATTGAGACGCTTGCAAACTTCCTTAGCAAGGAGCACCCAGATGGCATTGATTTCGTCATCAATAACGCCGGTATTGCCCTCGAGGGCTTCAGTAAGTCCGAGATGATCGAGACGGCGACGACGCCAGACTGACGGTCGCCAAGACAATGATGTGGTGAAGAAGACGATCGCGTGCAATTACTACAGCACCCTGGAGGCCACGCGTGCCTGGATCCCCACCCTCAAGTCCGATGGCCGCATCGTCAACGTGGCCTCCATCTCCGGCGCGCTAAACAAGTACTCCCGCAGCATCAGGGACCGTTTCATTGACGCAAAGGCCGTCGATGATGTCACGAATCTCATGGAAGAGTTCACAGCTGCCGTTGCGAAGGGTACGCATGAGGCTGACGGATGGCCCAGTGCTGCGTATGCCGTGTCGAAAGCTGGCGAGATCGCGCAGACGAGGGCGATTGCGAAGGAATTGAAGGACGACGGCAGCAAGATTCTCATTAACTCTTGCCATCCCGGCTGGGTCGTGACTGATATGACCAAGGGCAAGGGGACGAAGACGGCCGATCAGGGAGCGCAGACGCCGGTCCAACTGGCGATTGAGGATATTGGCGGCAAGTCCGGCACGTACTGGTCTGACGAGAGGGAGGTTGACTGGACTGCTTGAAGTGGGTTGGCTAGCTTGGACAGCAGTCCATATCAAAGTAGCGCGGCGGAACAGCCAACATGTCCACTGATATCTTGAGCTTCTTCTTACATCAGTCAGTCGGATTTACGGCTGAAGGGCTGCAGCATGGCAAAGATCACCGAGGGAAAGCCTAGTTTCATATATTCCCACCCGTATTGAGCATCCATGTACACCTTTCCGTCCCTCATGAATTGTGACCTGTGCATGCTACGCCCGAAAACGCCGCGCTTCGTGTGTGCAATGCCTCATCCTGAAAAGCGAAAAGGTATTCGGGCACAAACCTCCTCAAACAAGGACATACTTCTCCGTCTTCACCTTGCCGTCATTCAAATCATCAACCAGTTGCACGTGAGCCTTCTCCTCCTCCTCAGTGAAGGCCATGAAAATTCCGTTTAGCAGTACATAATCACCCCGATCACTAAATTTGCGTATCGCAAACAGCGAATCCTCCGTCGCACCCTTGAACGACACAATCGGGTCACCAACGCGGACGCCCGTCACGCGTTCGGCGACACCGAGGATGCCGGCATCAGTGAGGAAGTACTGCGCCTCGTGGAGCCACTTGAGCAATTTTGCGTTGTAGAGCGACCAGATCTCGCGTTCCTCCGTGGGTAGCCCGTCCGTTGTGCGGGTCACGATGGCGTCGTACCACGTCGTCCACTGTTCGGGGGTGAAACGGACATCCTGACCGCCGGTGAAGGCGGCACGGAGGGACCCGACAAATTCGACGCGGCGTTCTTCACGGGACTGACCGGGTCGCGGGTGATAGGTGACGAGATATTCGGTCTGTATCAAGACGCGAGCAAGCTGGGCGTAACAGTCGGCATCAGTGATGGAGCTGTCTGGGTCCTCGGGAATGGTCGATGGATCTTGTACACAGGCAATGGTGTAGCGATGAGCGCCTTTGACTGTGAGGCGACGTAGATCTTCCGAGAAGACGACATCATCACTACCAGGAACAATGCCACCGCGTTCTTTGGGGGGATAGCCTTTGAACCGCAGCGAACGGATTTGCCAGGATCCAGCCCATATGTGAGTCCAGTTTGGTGACCACGAAGGCAGCCCCTCATCGCGGGAACGATGGTCGGAGAGACGCAGGAAATCGAGATCGCGTGTGCGCAAGATGGTGGCAGCCGTCACCTCGCGATAAAGCGCGTGGACAGGCTTTCGATAATCAATGTCGACATCCTGGCTCTTAGGGCCGCAAATACCAAGCAGGGAGTAAATCATGTCGCGGGGATCCGTTAGCTCGCGGCCACGACAGGTTCGCAGCAAGTCAATCAGGTCGTTGGCAAAAACACCATGATCGGTGCGCTCGCGACAAAAGTTCATGGCTCTGATACCGAAAAGGTCGAAGATGCGGTTCGAACCCGGGAACAGAAGACTTGCTCGGTGGTCCTGGCCGAATTTGGCGATGCCGTCGGCGGCGGCGGCTATTGCGCTCCAGGACAGCTGATGCTCACCTACTTGAAGGGTCACACTTTCAGAGAGGCAGACCTCCTGAATGACCCACTGTCGACGAAAGTATGAGCGTTCGGTCAGCTTGAGGAGGGTGAAAAGAGCGACAGGTGGATGGCGGGCGACAACTTCAGGATAGGCGTCAGATCCAGCCTCTTCAATTGCGCGGGCAAGGTCAAAAGCAGCCCCAATGTCCATATGCTCGCCTGGATTGAGTTCGTCTTCATCCTCCTCCGGAACGCCGACCCAGCAAATGACAGCCTCGCTGCGCAAGTAAATCTTGTTCATGAGGCGAACCTGGTAGTTCTTCTCAATAACATTGCGCTGATCGATGCAAATCGAGTCGAGCCAAACAGTACGAGGCTTGTCTTCGTAGCGCAGGTGGTCTAACGCCTTTTCCACATTTTCGGTGACGAGAAATGGAGCGCCGTTGATTGTGATGGGCTGCGTGAACGTCGCCTTTTTCCAGGTGTAGGAGAGAGCTAGGTAACTGGGACAATCATCGGCAAAGTGGCGCGTCAAATGGCCAACAAGTGGTTCGCCTTGCTTGCCAGGTTCAATGGTCAACAGTCGGATGGCGTTGAGGCCATGAATGGCAGGCAGGGCTTCGAGGGTCTCGACGTAGTTGTTGACATGGTAGCCATCAAGCAATGGCGCATGGCTGTAGGCCTTCAAAGAGCCCATGATGCTGTGCAATGTCGCGAGCGATAAAGCGCGAGGCGAGGAACGAGTGACGGTGACGGTCCGACACGAGCAAGTGGCGATAAGAACAACTGTAGATGTCCATGACAGGTTGGCAAGCGGCGAGTCTGGGCTTTAGTACCGAAAGCTCCGTCGTCGAGTGATGGTTGTCTGATGTATGGCCGACTGTCAGGCGGCCTCAGACCCCTATTGGGTCATGATCCATGCTTCTGCCCTACATGATAGAGGATTGCATGCGATGGTACGTGGCTGTGACTGCATTGCTGGCTGCATTTACTGGGCGAAGGGACTTTGGTGGGTGGCCCCTAAGACTTCCCCCGTCTTAGCCTACCAGGACCAGGAGGTGAACGTAGCCTCACGTCGCACAAAGTGGAAAATGATCTTGGCGTCAGCGTTCTCGCCCCCACGACATACGCTGCGCGGGGTTAAAAGCTTGTGCGTGACCTGTGCGTCGGCGTCCCTTCGTAGTCCCTGTCGAAGGATCTCTGACATGGAACTTGGGTGAACTGCCTACCTGCAGGAGCAGGGATGCAGTGAAAGTGGCGAAAGACCGCTATTGATGATGGACCTGCTTCAAGGAGGGCGACCCCGCCTCGACGCTGGGGTTTTGTCGAGGCTCATGTTTGCGGGAGAGCGAGAGAGCTGACGGAAAATGAACGAGGTCGACGCAGTGAGGACTTTCTCCTCTAATCGATGTCCATGTTGACTGGGCTGGACTGCCTGCCCGTTGCTGGCAGAAAATTTGGCCCAAGCCACTCCGACGTAGCCCTGGAACCTGGCGAGCGCTTGCCGCAACGACGCGGCTGATCTGTTGAGCACGTCCGCCCCTGTAGTGTATCACAATGTTCGAGGCTGTCGCCAGTGTGTTCAGAGGCGCTACGGCTTCTTGGAATTCACTCGCAGTTCTTCGAGGTACTGTGGTTCAAGTCAGACCTACTTTCCGTCAAGTCATCATTCGAAAAGGTTCTTGTTTCTCCGTCAAGAAGACACCAGAGCCCTTGACATTGCTGTCGGTTGCGTGTTTCGGTTTCGGGAGCACGATCACCTACATTGTGAGTGCCCATGGTGAAAGCTGTGCGCGCGCGTTCTCAGCGGTAGAAACAGCCAGAATAAATCAGTTGCTCCTCATCCCAGATAACTGTTTTTTTTTTTACCGAGAACCCTGTTGCAAGATTCATCGAATGCTGGCAAGAGTCCATGTGTGGCCCTCCACAGACGTCTACAGAATACGGGCCAGTTTCTGTCGAATTATGCTTGATTGCAACGAGCAAGTCAGTCAGTATCGGGCAGAGAAACACCAAGCCTTGATGATTTCGTCTGCTCTTCAGCTCTTTTGTTTTCACAAAGGCAGATGTTCTCTGAGTAGCGACGACCACGGCATTCGACTTATCAGTATCGGTCGCTGGTCCCCGCCCTGCTGGGTCTAATACACGCCCTGTGGCGGGGTAATCGTGATCGCACGCCCTGTCCCATCTGAGGCGCCAAGGCCGCGGTACCAAAGGGTAACAGTCCAAGTCGATCAAATGACTTTTTAGAATACCTAGATATATCAAGAGAGCATCTACGACAGTACCTCAATTTACCGCCTTGCTGACTTTTCCTCTTCTCAGCGTGGCTCCAAACCCCCCAGAGATCGTGCAACCATGGCAAGCCTTTTCCAGGGGCAAGCATCGCCCCTTGACGCATCACGACTTGTCTTCTCGAGATCTACTGCTCAGCGTCCTGTGCCCCTACCCGGCTCGTCTGAGCTGTGGGCCCAGAATGTATGTTGCGACCACATGCTGACTTGTCGATGGACTGTTGAAGGAGGATGGGAAACACCTGAAATCAAACCATACGGAGACCTCAGCATTTCTCCAATTGCTTCCTGTCTTCATTATGCCACCCAGTGCTTCGAAGGCATGAAAGTGTATCGAGGATTTGACGGAAGGCTGAGGCTGTTCAGACCCGACTTGAATGCGAAACGTCTCAATATGAGCGCGCAGAGGGTCGCTCTGCCCGGCTTCGATGACGCCGAGTTGGTCAAGCTCATTACTGCCCTGGTAAAGGAAGACGCCCCACGTAAGGACCTTCAGAGACGCATGAAATCTGTGCAAGTCTTTTCTGACACTCGGAACGAATAGGCTGGCTTCCTCAAGATCAAACCGGACGTTTTCTCTACGTTCGACCAGCGATTATCGGCAACGGCACCCAACTCGGCGTGCAGCTTCCCCGAGTCGCGACTCTGTTCGTCGTGATGGTGCCCTGGCCGGACTTTTCGATGGAGCTGCCTCCAAATGCAAAGCCGAGAGCCGTTCCTGGGCTTAGACTTCTTGCTTCGCAGGGCGAGACGACTCGCGCTTGGCCGGGAGGCTTTGGGTATGCCAAGGTCGGTGCCAACTACGGCACGACTTTCGTCGCCCACGGCAAAGCCCTCGAACAGGGGTTCGACCAGATTCTGTGGCTTTTTGGGACTGATGGAAGAGTAACGGAAGCCGGCGCAAGCAATTTCTTCGCTATCGTTAAAAATGAAGCAAGTGGCAGGGCCGAACTTTTGACCGCGAGTTTGGATGATAACCTTATCTTGGACGGTGTCACACGGCGCTCCGTCCTGGAGCTGGTTCGGTCGAGGTTGTCAAAAGAGCTGTCTGTTTCCGAGACTGTATTCACCATGTCTGAGCTCAAGAAGGCCTGGGAGCAAGGTCGTTTGCTAGAGGCTTTCGTGTCAGGAACCGCCGTTGGTACCCGCTGTTCGTTGCAGTCAAGAGCTCTACTAATTCGATTTTGCAGTTTTTTATCACGCCGGTATGCTCGATCAACTACGAGGGTTGTGACTTAGACGTGCCACAAGAACGCCAGGCTGTCGGTGCAAGCTACGCTAGCATCATCAAGGGCTGGCTGAAGGATATCATGTACGGCGGGGAGATTCACCCCTGGGGGCTAGTGGTCGAAGATTAAGAACATAAATAGTCAGATAACATGTGTCTTCACCAAAATTGCAGCCCAGTGCAAGCAATTTGGTGTATTTGAAGTGCTCACTCGGTCAAGTCCGACCTCGGACAGGCCTCAAGATGACACCGCTGTATGGCGTTCATGCAGTGGGGCCTCGTATTAGTGAGTCAGTCAGAGTACTACGTCTGCACGGTATATAGTCTGATGATCCTACTTTCTCGCGTTATACTTCGGTTTTCTTAGTCCTCAGCAGAGTAGGCCTGAACACTCATCTTTGGTCCGTCACCGTGCGATCCTTTTCGGGCGTATCTCAGCCGCTCCAGATCATCTTTGCCATGGCAGGAAAGCAATCCCACTCCTTAGGTGCAGTGCCCCAGTCCGTCTGGCAGTCTCACAAATGATTCGGCTTTTGCGACTTGGTTTAGTCTTGTTTCGTGAATCTCGCTAAAGCACACAAAGGTCTTCTGGGACGATACTACGCAGTACGTCACGATCTCGGTCACTATCGGTCTGCTGCTGTCACGGCGACGTACACTGTCAATCTGCCCTGCCAACTCCAGAAATCTGTTTGGCTGCGCAACACGTTCGAGAGGGCTCTTCAGTACACCATCCTTGGCAACCCAGGACTTTGTTTTGGTATCGAAAAGAGCGGATCGAAATGTACCGCAGGGTTCAAACAGCTGGCAGAGATCCAGAGCGGCGATGTCGTGAAGTACTTTGAGATTGATGTCGTTCACGTTGGAGTGAGTGTCGATGACCATCTCTCTCGAGTGATAGGGGCTGCCCACTCGCATCAATGGGTTGCCGGTAAACCAGCCTGGAGGACTATCGTTAGCTATCAAGCAAGTACGAAAAGCGCCCCCGGAGCCAAAGAGGCTGAAACCTCGCGAGTCACTATCAACGTCACTTTCCTGGCCCATCATGCAATCGCTGATGGATTGAGCGGAATGGCTTTTCACATGTCTCTGATGAGTCACTTGGGGGAGGTTCCGGAGGTTGGTATAGAGGCGGCATGGCCCTTGAGTCTTCCTCATGACGTGCCGGCCCCAGCGTCAATCGACCACTTGCTCGGCCTGCACGACATATCGGACAACGTATCTGAAGAAGTCGTTGATCCAGTGTGGGCCGGCGGTGCGATATTACTACCGTCGACTACTGAGGACACATCTCGTGTTCGTCTCATCACGATTTCTAACGACAGATTGCTGGAGATACTCGATGTATGCAAGCGGAATCGTACAACCCTCACAGGACTGCTTCACGGCCTGATATGCGTTACTCTTCTTCGACATGTCGAAGACGCGCGAGCCTTCCGGTCCGTGACTTCTTACTCCATTCGAAAATTCACCGACGCTGATGCAATGGATATTGTCAATCACATTTCCTTCATAACCCAGTACGTTCCAAGCGCCGTGCTCGACGAACTTCAGGCAACAAAAACAGGGTCTCCTGCCGAGTCATGCTTGATTCTCAAGATGGCTTCTGCTTTCGGCGCAGCATGAAAGCTGAGCT